GATACATCTATTACCCTGCTCACGAATCACACATGCGACTCGGTCAAATTTAAATAAACAATCACCCTGCTCGTGAATCATACATGCGACGCAGGTACACATAGAAATACATGCTCAAACAGTCAATTAAGAATTTATCGGTGAACATTTATCCAAATAAAAGCCAATTCTCTTTTAATGATTTAAGAAAATGAAGTTTAGTCCTTTTAGAAATTCATTTACCAATTCTATAGGATTTGAATCAATTCAACTGCCAACAAAATTACAGATATTCCAATTATAGCATACTTTTGGGTCTTAGACTACCCGAACTTACACATATTAGTAGTTACGCACGGAATCTCGTCACCTCGTGCATATGTAGCCCTCACAAATAAGAGCACACAACCAATTATTTCATCTATGAGGACAATTCCCTCTTACAAGGTTAGAAAGGAGACTCACCTCGCTCGAAAGATCCATAATCGGCATTCCACGCCCTACCGAAGACTCGAATCAATGCACAATGCTCCAAAACTAGCCAATAATTATGCAAATCTGTTAATACATGTTCAATTACTCATTATAATACAATTTATAACAATTTCTAACCCCCGATCGAAAAGTTGACAAAATGGCACTCGGGACCACATACTCGGATTCCGAAATTTTTCGAAGATAAACTTTACCCATAACCTCACGAACTCAAATATATAATTTACTCTCAATTTCATACTCAAAATCGTGGTCAATTTCCAAGAATATCAATTTTCTAGGTTTTCCCTCAAACCCCAAGTTTCTACCAATTTCATGCTCAATTCCGTATATAATCATGTATTTAACCAAAAACTAGCATAAATTACTTACCTCATGCTTAGTGGTGAAAATGGCACCTAAAAATTGCTCCAAAATCGGCTCCAATGTAAAATGGAGTTAAAATGAACCCAACACCCGATTTAAAAGAACCTCACTACCTCTAGCATTTCCGCTTCTGCGCCGTACCAACCGCATCTGCGATCACGCAAGTGCGGTAATTCCTTCTCACCTGCGGTCCCTGATCCCTTCACTTCTAACCGCTTCTGCGGTGCCCTTCTTCGCTTCTGCGGGGCCGCTTCTACGGTGAATCCTCCGCAGAAGCGGTTACACCAGCAACTATACCCCTTCAGCCCATCCTTCAAGCTCCAATTCGATCTGTTAATCACCCGGAATCCACCCGAGGCCTCCTGGACCCAAACTAATCATACCAACCAGTCCCAAAACACATTATGGACTTGCTCGATGCCTCAAATCATATCAAACCAACGCTAAAACCATGAATCGACCTCCAATCAAAGCTTTATGAACTTTAGAATTTCAAACGTGTACTTTCGATGTTTAAACCTATCAAATCACGTCCGATTGACTTCAAATTTTGCACACAAGTCATATTCGACATTAAGAACCTGCTCCAACTTCCGGAATCGGATTCTGACCCCGATATCAAAAAGTCCATTTCCTGTCAAACTTCCCAAAAACCTTCAAATTTCTATCTTTAGCCAAATGACTCTAAAACGACCCATGAACCTTCGAATTCACTTCTGATCGCGCTCCCAACTCTAGAATCACCATACGGAGCTATTCCCAGACTCGAAATCTCAAACAGACATTGATAACACTGTAATGCACTTCAACCCAAACTTATGAAATTTCTTCCAAAATGCTAACTTCCACAATAGGCGCCGAAACGTTCCCGGGTCTTCCAAAACCCAGTCTGGACATACGCCTAAGTCCGAAATCATCATATGAACCTGCTGGAACCTTCGAATCCCGATTTTGAGGTCGTTTACTCAAAAATCCAACCTTAGTCAATTCTTTCAACTTAAAGCTTCCGAAATGAGAATTCTCTTTCCAAATCAACTCCGAACTTCTCGGAATTCAATTCTGACCATGCATACAAGTCATAATACCTGAAGTGAAGCTGCTCATGGCCTCAACCCGCTGAACGACATGCTAGAGCTCAAAACGACCAGTCGGGTCGTTACATCATTCATGTATCACATCTTACTCATAATGCTTCGTTAACTCTCTTCTTATTTCCCGCTAATATATATGTCTATAACTTTATTCTGAAAACTTGAACAAGATATTCTCTTGCTTTTGGCACCCCTTTGCTCCATCCAGTGGCTCTTCGGGTTGCTTAACGTTCTTGCTCTACTAGGGACGGGAACCACCCTAAGGTAATATTTATTCCTTCAAGGTTTCCAGTTCCTATCTTTATAGTACTCATATCTAGCTGTACTATTTTAGAGTGCACCATCTGGGTGTCTCAGAAGGAGATCTATTAGCACATTTGTAATATCCTTTGGAAATATCAACTAACGCAAATAATTCATCCACCATTTTCGGTCACTCTAACCCCAGCCGAATCGTGATATTATGTCCTTCTCTTAAACCATATTTATTAGCTCCCATAGAGCATAACTTAGATCGGTGTGGCCAATTGTACATAACTCTATTACTGTTAAAGGTAACTTAAAATGCTTATATCTCTCTTCCTAAATGGTAAATAATGATAATCTTCATCAGCTGGGTACCTCGTACCCTCTTTCACATTGCTTCCTTTACTTGTTGAAATTTGTATTTATCTTTTAAATCTCTCATTATTTTCACCATAAAGGTGGATAGATATTCTTGCCTTGAGGCTTCTTTTCCAGAAGCTCACCGAGTTCTTCTGACTCAACTCTTCCACAACCGCATTCAATCCCTTACCAACCATCTTTTTAAATGTAAGCATCGTCGTATTATGAATAAGATAGAGTCTAGGAAATTGAGATTTTACAACTGAGCTCTACCACACGATCTAGAGTAAGAAGAAAGAGTGATAGTCCTAAATGTATGTAGTCTCCTGCTTATAAGTATGGTGCACAACACACCCATAAGCAAGACTCTACTAGACACAGCTTGTAGACTCCCTAGGACAAAACTGCTCTGATACCACTTTTGTCACGACCCAAACCTATGGGCTGCAATGAGCACCCGATACCTTACTCAGTCGAGTACCAACATAACGTATCTTTCTTATTTATCATCAGAGGTAAGTGGGCTGGAAGGGATGTCATGCGATAACAAGAGTAAACATGAGGGAACACCCGACATAGGACAACCCAACCTGATATAGAAACTTATACCTGTGACATACTGGCCTATAAGGTCAATGTGATCCATTATATGCTTAAAATATAGGCTGACAAGGCCATACAAGTATCTGTATATATGATATTTGTCTACAAGCCTCTCAGAATACATAATATCATAAAGGTCGGGACAGGCCCCGCCATACCAAACAATACGCGTCTAAATCATACTGACCAAACAAGCAACTCCGGAGAAAATGGAGCGCACCAACATCTTCCGCTGAGCTGATAGCCTACTTGGAGGACTCTCGACCTGTCTATCGGGACCTGCGGGCATGAAACGCAGCATCCCCAGGCAAAAGGGATGATAGTACGAATAATGTACCGAGTATGTAAGGCACATAAATAAGTACATAAAAGATATGGATGAAATATAGAGTAAATGACTCAACCTGTAGGTCTGGATAACTCTGTAAATCATGAAATACTTATAGTGTCATGCATATGTGTATGAATGTCATGTCGTGCATAGGTACATGTGTTCATAACATCATCAAGCCTCTGAGGGCATCCCATCATATCATCTCGGCCACTGTGGACAAAATTATCAACGTATACCAGCTGATCAGGTGGTGATGTGTACATAACGCCGTAACCTTTTTCCCATACACACACACACACACACACACACACACACACATATATATATATGTATGTATATGGGATGTACATGTATAAATGAATGCAATGCATGAGAAGTATGTCATTAAAATCTTTCGGAGTGTTATAAGACCAATATGCCTTTGATTAATATCATGAAATAGACTTTATCAACTCACGTATTTTCTGAGACCCATGAACAGGCGATAGAATAATAAGACTTATGGGAAATCAAGAATATAAGTATCTCTAGCATTTCTACAAATAGAGTCATTTATGGAAACTGTGCATTTGCTCGTTTCGTTTGTGTCGTATGGATCATGCCAAAAAAAGAAGGAATAGTCTTAACATACCTGAACCGTTTCTCTTGACAATACTTTTAACACCATTGATTACGACAATGCGTGATGGCGGATCGATGTAGGGAGAATCCGTATGACATTCTTTGAGAAATATTGCACTATACTCCCTTCGAATCGCAAAACCCCGTTGCTATAACATAACGTAGTCTCGTATAATCTTTTGTAGCAAAGTCACGTTGATTAAATTTTGAATGAGTTGCTGAAGCTTCCATCTTAGAGATTCAAAGAATGAATTTGAAAGGTTTTCTTAACCTTTGAGAGTGGGCCCTACTTTGTGGCTTAGTGGGCCACCCAACTCTCTTAAAATGCCATCTAGAAGAATGACTTAATAGTCATATGTTATGACTTTGTGGCTGCCACGTTTGGGGTGGTCAGTTCTTATCCAACAATGTATTAATTAATTTCTTATTAATTTGTTAATCCCGTTAATTAATAATTAACCAATTATTCACATAATTAAAAATTATCTCTATTTACTTAAAATACTAGTCACTTTTAATACACTTTATATACCTTAGTATTATAGTCATGTGGTAGCTTGTATGGTACTAGTACATAAATATCGGCTATTATAGCTCGGACCGCATTTTATCCCAAAATGTCAAACTTTAAATTTTCTTCGATTTGCTTACCCTCTTACCTTCACGAATTTACTTATCACTTGTTTGAAATAACATAATGCTTATGACCTCAAAATAATCTCATTCCCCAGCTTATATCGATTTACTCATGATATACTTTTATGTACGAAAACATGGGGTGTAATACTTTTAGTACATTTTATGTCATTTTTTAAGTTTTAATTTTAATAGGATCGGTGAAATGATGTTGGACTTCACAATAAAAATTAGGTAAGTTAAAGCAGGTAAACTGAGTTAAACTCCATCATTAGATTGGAGAGTTCATCTACTACTATTAAGTAGCATCAGCTAGACTCCGTTATTAGATTTGCCAACCGAGGAATATTACCCAAAACAAGAGACCAAAAGAATCAGCTAACAGAGCTAGCAGAGCAAGAGTTGCTTGAGCCTAGACAGAAAGCTCCAAGCACCATGGCAACAGATTTCAAGTCTATCCCAATAATAGGTCTGCAATTTCAAGCCCTATTTACAAGTTCCTACTTTAATTTTGCTGTTGTTTTTAACTCCAAATTTTATCTTCACTCTTTGGACATTGCTGTGGAAACCTTGCTTAAAACTGTTCAATTGGTTCTGTGAAAATTTATTTTATTTTTTTCGTATGAGACAGATTTAAGTCCTCTTTTAGAGAAGTGGGATCATCCAAATTTGGCTCAAGATGAAGGTGTGGCTCAAGTTGTTAGACAATTGGATCAGGCCTGTAGAGAAGCTGGATTCTTTTATGTGGTAATTATTCTTCTCCGTCTTAATTGATGTTATTGTCTGGTCTTAATTGCTGCCTATTTTTTGTATCTATGAATTTACAATATTGGGGAAGACAGTGTGCTGTCACTGTGAAAGAAGCTAAGCTTCTCCTGAGTTTTAAGTTATGTTTGGATCTTTCGTAAATTTGAATTGTTACTTTCTGTGTTAGAGACACTAAATTGTTGCGTCTTCTGTTCTTGCAGAAGGGCCATGGTATCCCTCTTTCCCTTATGAAAGAGATTAAAAGCATTACACGTGAATATTTTCATCAACCCTATGAGGAGAAACTCAAAATCAAACTTTCTGCAGCAACTGGATACAGGTTTACTCTTGTGATTACCCAGTATCTTAAATTCAACATATTATCTTCACTAATGCTTGCTTATGTATCTTGAATGCAGAGGATATCAAAGAATTGGAGAGAATATAACCAAAGGCATACCTGATATACATGAAGCTATTGATGTAGGTTATATTAATTACTTACGGTCTATATATTACAGAAAATAAGTGTACCACTTGTTGTATTATTCTTGGGTTTCTTCGCATTTTCACCTGTAAGCCCGTGCTTATAGCTATATATACCAAATGTATATTATTTCTACTGATTCTATTTCTGTGGCTTATCTTTACTCTACCATTTAATGTTTTGGATTGGATGCGTAGAATTTTTCACACATTATGCATTAGATAGCTGTTTGTATTTGCTCACAATTTGGAGGTTTTGAAGTGTGTGCTCAGTTTCTGATTGTTTTGTAAAACTGGAACTGATTGAATTACTGTGCTATTGGATAATCTAGATATATAAATATGTAGTCTTTGGATCCAGGAATGGCAATATCAAACTTGTATGGAGCAAATGATATGCCAGTTGTTAAAACAAAAAGAGAAGACTTATTTTCCTGCTGTTAGCCTCATCTTGATCATATCTTCTATGTAGAGTGTGTGTGTGTTAGATGAAGAGAGAGCTTTTAAACAATGCACAGATTGTAAAGTTATTCCTATTTACCCTCTACCTATTGGGATTGGGGCTCGTTGCCTTTTAGGTGAGGTCTTGTTTCAATTATTTGGGTTCCTGGCTCACTTGCGAACGTTATCATTAATTCATTTACAAATTGATTAAGCTCTTCTCAAAAATGAGAAAAAATTGCCTTTTCTCGTAAAGACCATTCTTCAACTATGGACAACATTTCTGCTGTTTGCAATGGTATAGTTGTGAACTCCTCTCAATATCAGTTTCTATGTGCACATATGTCTTGATACAGCTTTTATAGGAATACTTTGTTTAATAATTATTAGTAATTGTACTGTTTCTGTTACTAAATCGTCCTTGATGCACTTTTATCTCTATCTTGTTTGTTGGTTGCAGTGCTATAGAGAAGTGAAACATGGGATGTATGGAGATCTTGGAAAAGTTATGCAAGGATCCAACATATGGTAGGTTAGCCAGTTACTTGTAACGCATGGTCTTTGCACTAACCCCCTCCTTTCTTTCCCTTGGTACATCTTAAAACCTTTGCCATTTCTTCCCCATGGTATATGCTACTGACTGCTAAATGACGACTTTGGATTTGTTCTTTCTTCATTTTGTTTGGTCTACATACAATGTTTTCATATGCAGGCCAAGTAACCCTCCAAATTTCAAGCAGTTAACGGAGGAGTATGTTGACCGTTGCACAGGTGCCTTGCTCTATTACATACTCCTTTGACATTTATGCAGTGGCTATACTGATAAAGGTTTTCTGCACGGAACTGAAACGAAGTTGGTGAACTTTTGTATTATACTGCTGACAGATCTATCGCGAAAGATAATGAGGGGAATTGCTCTGGCATTGGGTGGATCAGCGGATGAAATGGAGGGTGAAATAGGTGGTGATCCTTTTTGGGTCTTGCGAATAATTGGCTACCCTGCTGCGTCCATTTCAAATGGACATGATAAGGCTGACAATGATGTTGGATGGTAAGTTGTTGGTGTCGGTCATCACATTTTTTCTTGTTTATCATTTTTTTTTTCCTGTTCTCTTATTGGTGTATCTCTTTTCCAATGAGTGATGTTTTTTGGCTTTCTCTGTTGTCCATCTCTTTTCTCCGAACTGAATAAATCTCAGTGGCGCCCATACAGATTATGGTAAAGCTTCTGATCTTTGCAAGGATAGCATACTATCCCATTGATTAGCAACCATGATATAAGTGTTTTCTTATCTTATAGGGCTATTAACATTAGTCAACCAAGATGACGACATAGTTGCCCTTCAGGTACAATTATGTTT